GGAACGACCCTTCAATATGGCGGCCATGATTGTTTTCACTCCGAAGTGCCCTTCGGAGGGCAATATATCCCGTTTGGAATGCACTGATAGACATGGATAGAATACATTTTCTGCCTCCTTCTGTGATAAGAAGCTATATCACAAAAGGAAATTATTTCAAACATTCGACTTATGCTGTGGAGTACGTTATAATATTCTGTTTTGTTGGACAACAGGTTCAGAAATGCTTCTCATTACAAGTCATTACAAGGGAAGATGTTTGGCATATGTTGCTTTTTAAATGCACATTAAGTGAGAAGGTGTTTTCTCATCTCAGCGTGTAAACTCAAGGGCACACACAAAGAGCCAATTCAGAGAAAAATAAAATGCATGATAATGATTTGAACGTAAAGCTGAAACCCCCCCCCAAAAAAACACACAATTCACAGGTTTGTACTGAACTGTGGATGTTGTATCGAATGGTAGGGATGCCAGATGTGAAACTGATGTTTCGACACAGTGTCGAGATCCTGAAGCGTAGATGTTTCGAAACACTGCTCTGAAGTGTGATTCAAAATACCCATGTCACGTGACAATGGCTAAATGAAGCTTCGGTGTGGTTCACAAGTGTTTCAACCGACAGGCGGCAAAATAAAAATCTCACAATCTAACAAACATGACACATTGCGGCTTGATTTCTTTTATTAACCCTCTGGGGTCCGAGGGTGTTTTGGGGCCTGGAAAAGTTTTGACATGCCCTGACATTTGTGCTTTTTTCAGTTGCTTACAAACATTTGAATGTCTAAAGTTTAACAACACTGTAATCAGTACTTTGTTTGCTGTGATGTGGGCGTTTACATGCGCGCGGCTCATGTGGACGATTGTAATATCAAAAGCGTGATCGGCGCGTGGGTGTGGTCACATTAGCGATAATTAGGGCGACGGCCAAGATTTGACATCGCGTTGGTTTCATACTGATTACTTTGTCACATAATATTTTTCGTCATAATATAATAGTTTACATAATATAATAGTTTTCGTCATGACTTACTTCGTTTAAAAGTAGACATGTTAAGCTTTCTATAGATATATCTCTCATGTGTGTGTGTGTCAAATATTCGCTGAGTTTCAGTTAATTTTAGTATTAAAAAAAATAAAATAAAATAAAACCTACAACTATAAAAAAGAAAAATTACTCTTACAATGATGTGGATACTTTATTGTTTGGCATAAACAACATGTAGGTTATCATTCGTAAATCGTTGTCTAGGCAGAGCAACAGGTGCAAGTGACCACTAGGTGTCACAGTGGAGACGGGTGTCTGATTGTTTCGAAGCCTCGACACAATTCGATACATTTGCTACAACTGTTTCAGTGATTCATGAAACCTCGCTCTGACCATCACTATCGAATGGTTCAATATTAGGCCTAGTCCACACGTACATGGGTATTTTTATAAACTGAATTTTTCCTCCGTTTAAGAAAAAAAAATCTCATCCACGTGAAAACACAAAAACAAGCTATGAAGTGCTGTCAAGAGCATGCCAAACCAACAGGTATAACCCTAACTGTAAAGCCATCTTGGCCAATCACAGACTCACCTCATGTAAACAATGGAGATAGCGGTGCACAATCTGATGTCAAACAAAGGAGGTAACAGGGCACACTCAAACATAAAATCTTCTTTAAAAATTGATTTTACATATTATTTTTATAGAGATACAGTGATGCCTGTTACAACTAAGTTTGTGACTGACATGAGGTGTTTTTGTAAAGTGCAATTAGAACAGTTGATGCATATTTGACATGGCAGGAAGAAATTTCTTTCGTCCTTCCCTTTCATAGATCACACAGGATGACCACATGAAGGCGAACAGGCTGATGTGATCGTTCTCCTTTCTCTATCCCACCTCTTGATCTAATGACAATCACAATGATTGGAGCTGAAGAGCTTTGTGAACAAGTGCACCTACTTCAATTACTCATGTCAAATACAATGCCTTTTGATGCTGATGTTCCCATAGGCTCACTATGAGACACATGTAGATGAATAACTTTTATACACACACAAATAAATTAAATAAAAAAACATTGTTCCCTCTGTGAAATGTTCACTTTTAATAAAGTATTGTTCAATAGAAACATTGTTGGTCAGTTTAGGGCGGGTGAGCCAATCGTGGGTAACCTCTTAATCGCCTAAGCTGTTCCCATGGCAATGGGGCGCCTGTGGGCTAATCAGTGTGAAATAGCGTGGGCCTTGTGTTCCCTTGGTGACACCTGTAACTGACAGGCTGAAGACGACCTGCATATTACTTTTTGACCTCTTAGACTTGGTGGGAATTGTTAATAGGAGCCTTTGCTGCTATAGTATGAGAAAACATTGAGTAAAAAAATTGTCCACAAATAAATGAAGCCTTTACTATATTCCTCACTGATATATTAGTGAGCCTGCAATATGATTTGTCTGTGAATTTGTTTCACAAAACAACCAGACCTTTGTGAGTGCTTAGCTCTTTAGGGATTTTTCTTCCTTTGTTTCTGCTGTTTTGTTTTTTTTTTTATGATCAGAATGAGCCCTACAGAGAAAAATGTCTGTACCGTATCAACTAAAATTGAATCAGAAGGAGTTTCAGCCCAAACCCCAAAGCCCAATAAATTGGGTAGACCAGAGAGGAACTGTCAGTCACATATAATCAGAGCAGGCAGAAGATAAATTATATCTTTCAACATTGCTGTCGCTGACATTACAGTGAAAAATGCATTGTAGTCTATTCTTCTAATCATCTCTCTGCTTTGTTACCATCTTTGCATTCTTGCTTCCTTGTTCCATTTCATATAATTTTATGAAAAGGCTTTGATGTTTCTTTCTTCTACAAAACACTCAAGCTCAAATAAAAGATGGAAAACAATTTCACATATTGTACTTCCCATATGTTTTGTTCACAGAGATAACACGGAATTAATACATTTTATTAAAAATGTCTTCTATAATAATAATACAAATAATTTCTTAATAATAATAATAATTATTATTATTATTATTATGGTTGTTGTTAATGTCTTTTGAAGAGCATTTCCTAAAACTACCATTCTTTTTAATAATAATAATAATAATAATAATAATAACAATAATAACAATAATTATCATTATTATTATTATTATCATTATCATAAGAAGGAGAAAAATAGTATTATTTTTATTAAATAAATAAATAAATAAATAAATAAATATATATGAAGAAAAACTGGCTTTAGGGAATGCATACACCGAACAGTATAGGATGAAGCATAAATAATAAGGTTAGATGAGCCCCTGCTAAAACAGAGCAGGGAGTGAGACAGAAGTGCCCTTCAGGTGCTTGATTGCAGATCAGTCCCAGCTGATGAGAGAGCTTCAGAGGAGATGTGAAGCACCTAGCATTGAAAAGGGATGCAGGTAGATGTGTTCACTGTAGTGAAACTGGTGTTTATCGCTATGCTGATAGCTGCCACACTTGCCTTTGAGAAAAGGTTAACCATATGCCTCAAAACCACACGCAATATGACAATATCAATATGCCTCATAACATTATGACTTATTTGACTCTCTGAAGATTTATCCTACAGAGCATATGCTTTTATGAATGACTGACACAGTAATGAAGATGTCCAAGCTTACATCGGTGTGTGTGTGTCTGTGTGTGTGTGTGTATGTGTATGTGTATGTGTATGTGTATGTGTATGTGTATGTGTGTGTGTGTGTGTGTGTGTGTGTGTGTGTGCGTGCGTGTGTGTGAAAGTGATGATTCAGAAAGATCCATCTGCTGTCTGACAGAGAAGTGTCCTTAGTGGAGAAACAGGCTAACAGCTACATTTTCACATTGCAAGAAACAATTGAGGATGATGTAGAATTTGCTATATACACAATTTTATTTATGGGAATGGCTCAAGGGTCATTTTCTTTTGTGCTACACCAAAACTTGCATGACAATTTGTTTTTGAAGGATGATGTCATAACATACACTGATCTATCAGCAATTGTAAATAAGCTGCAGACAAGAAATTCATTCAATTTGTATGAATTTTCACATCAGAACGGCAAAAAAAAAAAAAGGATGGAGACTATTTCGCTCAAGGGTCATTTTCTTTTGTGCTACACCAAAACTTGCATGACAATTTGTTTTTGAAGGATGATGTCATAACATACACTGATCTATCAGCAATTGTAAATAAGCTGCAGACAAGAAATTCATTCAATTTGTATGAATTTTCACATCAGAACGGCAAAAAAAAAAAAGGATGGAGACTATTTCACTATCATGGTCTGAATGTTTTCATAATTAATTAATTATTAAAATCATAATTATAATTACATAGTATACAATTATATACATTATACATTATACAATTACAATTTAAAATAATATTTTTATATTTTTAAACATTTAATTTTATATTTATATAATTGTATATAAATATATTTTAGCGTTTTCATTACATTAACGTATAGTTAATATTGTTTAACTAATCCTATCATTTTTTTAACACAGGTCAATTTCTGAGCTCTTATTGTTTTTATTAGGCCTGAAAGTTAACATTTCAGACTTCTTTTGAGGATAAGATTTATAGCAATGACAATTAATTGGGCTGCATTTTGCATCTTACACTAAAAGACTTCAAAGATCCAAGAAAGCTAAAATCATTTTTTTTACGATTCTTGAAATTTTTCTTAGATGGCAAATTCTTTGCAAAACCGTACAGTGTGCCCTATAAGCTATATGTGAACATCAACGCAAATGGCCACCTCCTGTTATACAAACACTGGCATGCTTCTTTTCTGAGCCAAAATGTAGTTCTAGTCAGAGGGAGGGAAATGAAAGCTTGTGTAACCATCAGAATTACTCTACAGATGTTATTTTAATAGTTGTAATGCTGTTATGCCTTAGGCTCACTGCTATTGCACCCCTACTCTAGAATTGAATTACTAATAGTCACTTAACACAACATCATGTATTCGGTGGTGTTGAATAAATAAGAAAGGCAAGCATTCTGAGAAGCAGAGCTAAAGGAAAGTGTGTTGATGACTCGTTATTTAATTTTTTAAATTAAATTACATTGACAAAATACATTGCATCAACACTTTTAAACAGATTTACACTGGTAACCTCTTTTTTCGAGTTTCATTTTAAAGTTTAAAGTTTGGCTCAGTCCACACTTCTATGGGTCTTGGTGGAGCTGGACCTCTATTACATATCGCTACCCAGAAACGGTCTCGCAGTTGTTCAGGTTAATGCCAGCCTGTCTAAAAATCCTGTGTAAATATCTACTCTGAGTGTTTAGCTTTCACACGTTCCTCGCTGTCAGCTTTCTGTTCACGCTTGTCATCTGCCTCTGTTGCTGTTTTTCAT